CACCTACAATGAACGCGATAATTTCTCTCGCCGAACCACTCGTTGCTCAGTTGGAACAGAGAATTTTTCCATGGAAATCAGTGTCGCAAAAGTTGAAAAACATGAAAATTCTCCACAAAAATCAGAGTTGCTGGAAATTCAGAACACAAAAATTCTGCATGAAATTCGAAGCTGGAAACGTTGGAACAAGAGAATTTCTCATTAAAATGAAAAGAAAATCCGAATGCGCACTAGAGTGACAATGCCGAGAAGCACTTGAGCATAACCCATCGCCATTGTCGAATGCAACGCAATCTTGGCGCGTCGTCCCAAATTCATACGACGACCTATTAACCACGTTGTGGTCACCGATAAAAGCGTTATATACGCCTGAAAATTACTTATTTTTTGTTCATTTACCAAATATTCATTCAATACTCAACACTTAATTAATACTTACTTATTTACCATTTTTCATCCCCACAAAAAAATTTCATAGAAAACCGAAAAATTCAGCACGACCGCTAAAAATCCCGAACATTTCCTCACAACAGAACACCTAAAAAACGCGTGCCATTCAAAAGTCTCTCACAAATTCTACAACAAACACGTGATAACTATCTGCCGTAGCCGAGAAAATTTCACTGAAAGAGTGCAGCAAGTTGAAAAAATCTGAAAAAGTCTAAAAATCTCAAAAGAATCTGAAAAAGTTCCCAAAATTCCATCAAAACAGTTGGCTTCAGTGTAATTCTAGAGCTTTATTTTGGTTTATCAACATCTGTGTTTCAGTGCACCAAAGTCCACATCACTAGCCAAACAACATCCCGACAACCACAACAATACGGCCCACGACCGGCGCCGAACTCGCGCCTCTCAAACGAAAACCTAGCACACTACCACTACGCCATACATCACCCTTCCTCTTGCGGTTTACTCTATGTTATTATTTAATCCTGGGCTTCTCGACCACGATTGCTTATACTCCCTCAAATTCCGAGATAAGGTTTTATTTCCTATACATTAACGTAGACGAAGACGCAGATTTCAACACATACAACAGATGTGTATAAAGTAGGCGAGGATCGACTTTAACGTGAATATTATTGAAACGATAGAAC